GGGAGCTGGGGTCTGCCCCGTGCAGTGGTGCTAACCCCACAGCGCTGCTCTCGCTGACCGGCACCTAGCAGCATCCGGCCCCATCCCCTCCCCAGTGTGGTCCTCTATGGAGGAGAGGGGATATCCCATTGTTCTTGAGGAGGGACAGCACTGTGACTCTTGTGGGGGCACTAGGCACTCTGAACCTGGCTTCTATGCTGGGAGTGGCCGGGCACCCTGCCCCTATCGGGGTGCTGGGCATGCTGCAACACCCCCAGAAGATGAAGCCCTGTCACTGAATCAGTCTGAACGACCAGCTGTGGTTCATTCTCTCCACAGCTGTGGAGGACCCTGCCTCTGCTCCCCGGCCCCTGCCAGGAAATCCAACAGCTGCCCCCAGCCCACTCCCCACTCCACACCCACCGGCGCAGGCTGGGGTGGCCGGCAGGGCCTGGCGGAGGCAGCTAATCAAATGGGGCAGGAGAGTGGGGAGAGAGCAGCAATACTGGTTGCTAGACGGGTTTCACCTGGAGGGATCTGGGTGCGCTGGGATGGAGGGGCAGGGCCAATGGAGAGGGGTTCCCCAGGCTCCGCAGTGTGTGTGGGGGTTCTCTGTGGTCTGCTCCCCCAGCATCAGTGGAGAAGTGTCTGATTTGTCCCATCAGGCTGCAGGCCAGGGAGGCCAAGCGCTGCGCATTGTTCCCCACAGAGGCAGGTGAGGGAGAGTCTGACAGCCGGCTTGGAGAGATGCATGAACCGGGCTGTGCCCCCACCATCAGTGGCCTAGAGCTGCCAGCCCTCTGCCGGGAGATGCTTCCCAGCGACCCATTCAAGGGCAGCGCCTTGAAGGCTGCGGCAGGAGGGCAGTAGGGACGGGGGAGAGCAGTGCCCTTTGGAAGAAGGATCGAGCAGAGAGAGCTGGCTGGGGGTGGAGCTCCTGGCTACTCCAGCCCCAACCAGCCCCTTCTCCCCCAGGGAGACCCACCATGTCGGGACAACTCCCTGAGCAGCCCTCTGTGTGTGTGCCCAGGAGGCCCTCCCCGTGTGAGGTGAGTGCTGTGTGGGCCAGGGCTGTGGCTCCCTGGCTCTGTGGGGAAGGGCGCTCCCAGGTGGCGACAGGGGGAGCCAGGTGCCACTTTGCCCTGGATCGGGGCCACCATTGGCCGTGTCTCCCTGGAAGGCTGAATGGCTGAGCCGGGGCAGCACCTCTGCCATGGTGCGTGGCCGGCATAGGGCAGGGGTAGGGTTACCATACATCCGGATTTTCCCGGACATGTCCGGCTTTTGGGGCCTCAAATCCCCGTCCGGGAGGAAATCCCAAAAAGCTGGACATGTCCGGGAAAATAGGGAGGGAGGGGTCTTGGTGCTCGGCCGGGGGCCGGCGGTGCTTGGCCGGGGGCCGGAGCCGCTGGGGCCGGTGGTGCTCGGCCGGGGGCCGGGGCCGCTGGGGCCGCCGGAGCCAGGGCGGGCCGGAGCCACTCGGCCAGAACCAGGGCCGGCACCCCAGGGCCCGAGCCGAGCCGGGCGGGAGATGCTGGGGCCAGAGCCTCTTGGCCTGGGCTGGCCGGCTGCCAGAGGGAGCCGCTCGGCCCGGGGGGCCGGACTGGGCCGCACCGCGCCCCGCCCCAGCCCCAGCCCCAGCCCCAGCTTACCTGCTGCCTCCCTGTTTCAGGCTTCTCGCGAACATTTGATTCGCGGGAAGCAGGGGAGGGGGAGGAGCAGGGGGGCGGAGCGTTCAGGGGAGGGGGCAGAGTTGGGGCGGGGCAGGGGCCCTGTGGAGTGTCCTCCTTTTTTTAAATTAAAATATGGTAACCCTAGGCAGGGGGTGCCGGCCTACACGTAGGGAGCCGGGGCGGGCGGTTCCCAAAGGCAATTGCGGGCAGGCCCTACCCAGCCCAGTGTGCTCTCTAGTGCCTGCTGGCCGGTCGCTGGTTCCCAGGCTCCCTCCCTGGATGTGGATAATGCCCCATCAGCTGCTCGACAGCCTGGGTCAGTGGGGAGAGAACCCCTCCTGGCCGTGCAGCCGGGGCTCACAGAGCTGGGCTCTAGGGGGCGCAGATCACACAGATCACATGGCCACAGCTGGAGCCAGCTGCTGAGCAGAACCCATGGCTGGGGGAATGCCCCCCTCTGCCCCGCCTCCTTGAGGGGCAGGCCGCCAATCAGAGCCCATGCAGAAAGCAGGCTTAGCTTCCCGCCCCCCCCCCCCCCCCAGGAGCCAACATCATTGTCACAGGAGGGGAGGGGGGAGCAGAAAGAGTCCAGCCATTCAGGATGGTGGCGCCCCAGGGTGGTGGTGCTGGAACTGGAGGTGCTGGGGGGCTGCCCCACGCCCGACCTGATGTAGTTTCCATTATATCCAGGGTTTACAGTTTGGTTCAATGGCTCTCAGCACCCCTGTGACGTTATGAGTGTGATATATCATCTCATTGAAAGGGGATAGGGCCAGAAAGAGTTAATTCACTCACGGACTGACCTGACCCAGGGCCCAACTTTAGAGACTGATTAGGAAGATCTGTAAATGAATAGAGCTGTGAAATGCAAGTCTGCATTGTTAGAGATGGAAGGGGAGCTGTTTGCTCAGGTCTTGTGATGTAAGCAAACAAGTCTGGTCTATTGCTATAGCTTTGATTCAAAGATCAAAAAAGGAATATTAACCTTTATGATGACACTTGAGTGAAATAGTATCATTGTCTATATGTCTCTTTGAAGGTTGTGATAAACTGTATATGAACTGTTGTCATGGATAAATTGCACTATGCTAATTGCCAGGATCAGGGCCGGCTCCAGGCACCAGCAAACCAAGCAGGTGCTTGGGGCAGCACATTTTCAGGGGCAGCATTCCAGCCAGCCTCTTTTTTTTTTGGCACTTGTGCGGCAAAAGCCTAGAGCCAGCCCTGGCAGCAGCAGCGCATCCTGCACCGGGGGCGCCCTGGGGCCACTGCAGTTTGCGTTGGGGAGCAGTGTCCGCACCTTATGGCCGGGCGGGCTCCGAGTGTGGGACACTCGGGCTGGGGGCCGCCCCTCAGGGCACACGGAGCCACCTGCAGGTGCCGCAGGGCGGCCGCCCCTCAGCGCCGCAGCCGGGGCTGGGCGAAGCTGCCAGAGCCGCCCAGGGACTGCGGCAGGGCGGCCAGGAGCAGCAGCAGGAGTGGGGCCATAGAGGGCGGGGCGCTGCATGTAGGGCCCGCGTCCCACTCTCCATGGCTCCGCTCCCTCTGGGGGTGCCCTGCCTCGGCTCCTCAGCCCCCTGCAGGGGCAGTCCCCCGGCTCTGTCCTCCCCGGTCCCGGCCGGTCCTAGAGGCGGGAGCCCCGGCTGGAGGGACCCTGGGCTGAGGCACGGCCCGGGAGCCCCGCTGCTTACCCCGACCCTGCCAGTGCTGGACCGGCTGGAGGTGAGGGGGGAATGGGCGGAGTCAGCGCTGGTGGGGAGAGCCCAGGGTTGGGGCGGCAGGGGGTGTGTGTGGGGGGGGAAGAGAGCCCAGGGCTGGGGTGGGGGGCAGCCAAAAATTTTTTTGCTTGGGGCGGCAAAAAACCTAGAGCCAGCCCTGGCCAGGATGGTTGGAAGACAGAAGATTAAGCTTTTTCTCTCAGGCCAAGAGGCTTCTGTAAAGTGTATAAAAACCCTGGGACACCATCCTGTTTGATCTCAGATCTGCTTTGTGTTTCAAGAGGGGGAAACCTTAAGCCATAAGGATTGAGATCCCCAGTCACTTACTGAAGTCACCCTGAATATGGACATTGAACTATAACCCATGGATTATATCTAAAAGGACTTTTGACAACTACAAGCTCATCTCTGCTATGTATCTGAACCTCAAGAATTGAATTCAAGTCTGTCTGTATATTGATCTTTTAGCCAACACTCTCTTTTCTTTTTTAATAAATTTTAGTTTAGTTAATAAGAATTGGCTATAAGTGTGGATTTTGGGTCAGATCTAAGTTATAAATGGACCTGGGTCTGGGGCCTGATCCTTTGGGATTGGGAGAACCTGTTCTTTTATATGATGAAATAAGATTTTCAGAATTCATCATCATATGTTTGACATGTGTGTCTGGATGGAGGCCTGAGGCTGGGTGCTTTAAGGGAACTGCATTGTTTGGGTAACCAGTGAGGTAATACAGAGGCTGTTTTGTGCTGGCTTGGTAAATCTAAATAGTGGAATATCCACCAGCTTTTGGGGTTTGTCTGCCTCGTTCTGTTTGCAGTTCACCCTAATTGAGTGACCTCAGCTGGCTCCCACGGGCAGCATCGTCACAACCCCACCCCTGCTATAAAAATTGTTCTAGCACCCCTGCCCCTCCATGAACAATGGGTCAATCTGCTCCCCCCCTTTCTCCCTCCCCTCTGTGTGCAATGGGCCAGTCCGCTCCCTGAACCACTCCCTGCTCCCCCTCCGTAATGGATCAGTCTGCTCCCTGCTCCCCTCCCTCCTGTGAGCCATGGGTCAGTCTGCAATGGATCAGTCCACTCCCTGCTCCCCCTCCGTAATGGGTCAGTCTGCTCCCTGTTTCCCCCCCCCCCCCTGTGAGCCATGGGTCAGTCTGCCCCCCCTCTGCAATGGATCAGTCCACTCCCTGCTCCCCCTCTGCAATGGGTTGATCTTCTCCCTGCTCCCCCACCCCTCCTGTGAGCCATAGGTGCGATGGGTCAGTCAGTCCACTCCCTGCTCCCCCTACCCCAGTGAGCCATGGGTCAGTCCACTCCCTGCTCCCCCTCTGTAATGGGTCGGTCTGCTCTCTGCTCCCCCTCCCCTCCTGTGTGCCGTGGGTCAGTCCACTGTGGGTGGCCTCCCTGTGGTCAGCTCCCATCTGTGCCATGGGGCTGACAGCCCTGCTCAGGGCCGGTCCTAGAGCAAACGGTGCCCCAGGCGGGGAGCATCTTTGGTGCCCCTGCACTTGTGAAACCTTTGGCTACCTTCTATTTGATGGCTTTGGTAGCACATTTCACGACTTCATTGCACGACTGGCATGTGTGCTTTAGAAGATGATAGCTTTGCACGCTGGGATCTGTCATTCTGGGCGGTTGGAGGAAAATGCCGCTCTCAGGAAGTCGGGGAGGTGCTTCTCCAAAGGCCCAGGACGTTCTAGGAGATTAGTGACCAACGAAGCCACCACGTGCGGAATGCCTGAAACATGTGACTTCAAAGATTCCGTTTCCCCTTTTGTCGCTAACCACAAAAACAGCCCCCCGGGCCCGGCACGCCGGAGAGCAGGCTGCCCGGATACTGCGGCGACGGGGGCCACGTAAGTACCTCTGCACGCGGATGGGCCTGACACATGCCCGAAAGCAAAGGCGTCTCTCCCGCATGCTGGAGGCGAACGTGGTCCGGCTGTAACCGCCTGCCATGTGCCGCCAGCCTCCAAATCAGAGCCTGTCCCCGCAGGACAGGCAGGGCTGAATGGGAGGAGGCATCGGCCTGCTGCAGGGTAACCTGCGCAGGATGGGGTATGCCTGGCAGATCACCTTTTTGCAGAAGCGAGCCATCTCCCATGTGGACCAGCCTCTCCTGCTCTGTTGTAAGGAACGTGGAGCGGAGTTCGCTCCCTGCTGCTGGCTGGCTGCCAGCGGTGGGCGCAGGACCCATGCTGCACCAACAGGCCCGGGCTCACCGGGACATGGATCTGCGGCCAATGCGTTGGAAAGTTCCAGCTGCCGCGGATCACAGCGGGGCGCGTGGGCTGCAGCAGCAGCGCCTTTCCGGAGGAGGCTGCGCCCAGCTCCCTCCAGCTCTCTGCAGAGCCTGGCATCATGCAGCAGGGTTGTTTTAAAAGCAACTGGAGAAATACAAGGGAATTTCTGCTGCCACCATGTGTCCCCACGAACCTCCCCCAGCTCGGCTGGCTGGTTTCTTGGGGAGGGATGGTGGTGAGGAGGAGGAGGCGGTGAGGAGGAGGAGGCGCTGTCCGCCCCGGCGCTGCCTGAAGCAGGCTGGCCCCCTGCGAATGTTTGTCTGCACCCTCCCTGCAATCCCTGGGACTGTGCATGGAGGAGCCTGTGGCAGTGCCAGCGTCGCTCCTTCTCCTGCGGCGCGGCTGGAGCAGCGGTACCACGTGTCTGTTCTACATGGAGCGTCTGCCTCAGGCCTTGTGCTTTGCAGGGTGTTTAGTCCTCTGGCTGTTGTGGTTTGTTGAGCCCTCCAGTTGCCTGGTGTTTCTCAAGCCGCCGGTTCCCCCCAGGCTCTCTGAGACATCCAGCATTGCGCTCCTGGCCTGGCGACATAGGAACGGCCGTGCCAGTCACACGCCACAAAGTGGCGCTGGACCCTGCCAAAGGCTGCCACCCTCTGCTTGCAGCCCCTGGTTTTGGAGCCGACACCCCCCTCCCCCAACATACACACACACGCACACGTGAGGCACGCATGAGTGCAGCGGTGGGACAGGCCTTCGCTCGCTCCTTGTGCGGTTGATGCTCTGGCTCCTGGGGGAGCACAGGGGACAGCCCAGCAGCTAAAGCTGCTGCATGGACGCGGGCTGGGGGTTGTGCTGCTCCACCTCTCGGGAAGCCTGTAAGTTCAGCAGTTTCCTGGGATGCCAGGAGAAGCCACAGGGCTCTGGGTGGCTCCCTGGTGCCAGGGTAGGTGCTGCTGGAGTCCATTGCACTTTAGCTCCCAATTCGAGACCAGATGGTGCCAGTAAAGCCCTGGACCTGTAGTGTTTCCTGGAGCTCCCCAGCTCACAGGCAGGATACCCCTGCTGCCCTGCCCAGTGCAAGGGGCACCCTTCCTCCACCCGGCCAGCACTGTCCCCGCAGCCTCCAGCAGAACGCAGAGCCAGCGCTGGCAGGGCGTGGATGCCGCCACACGTTTCCCACCGGGCTTTGGGTGCCGGTCCGTGATTCCGAGCTGCGCCCGAGCTGAATGTGCAGCCCCCAGATTCTGGCTTAGTCCCCAGCACAGAGCCCCAGCCCCCCTCCGGCCAGAGCTCAGAGCCTGCCGCAGACCCAGGGCGCTCGCCTGCTGAAGGCGAGAGCTCCAGTTTCAGGCTGTGGGTAGCATTCCCAGCCCTGGTTCCCAGCAGCCCCCCTCTGGTTCTGGCCAACCCAAACTTCCCAAATGCTTATGTAAGGTTTAGTCTGGCAGGAGTTCAGGGTACGGCCCCTGGCCGCTCGGCAGCCAAGAATGCAGAGAGAGCTGCTGAGAGGGAATGCAGCCGGGCTAGGCAGTATCCCGAGCCCTCTCTTCAAAGAGCTGCAGTCTGTGCCCCCCGAGCCCCCTCCCCGAATGGACGAGCTACGGGCCTGTGCCACTAACCCTGCTCTCCCAGTGCCCAAACAGTCCTTGCCCCTGGGCCCCCTCTGACAAACAGTGGTGCTGCAGCCCAGACTGGGTGCCGTGCTGCCCGTGGGGGTACCTTTAAGCCCCTGAGCATGGCCCCTTATTAGGCTGCTCCCAGAATCCTGAGCAGATTTGTTCTGATCCGATGCCGCCCCTCCCCACATGGCACGGTACGGTCCAACCGCTGCACGGCTGAGCCTCCCTGTCCTGCAGCTTTTGGCAAGCCAGAGCCTCCCCTTGCAGAATGGCCTCTGGCCTAGGGAAGATGCATGGGCTGGGAGCCAGGAGACCGGGAATTTTCAGCTTGCCTCTTGTCCGCTTAGAGCTCCTGGCACTTCACAGCCCTGAATGCTGGGGGAGGTCTTGTATCCTAACACTCACACCCCCAGCATGACCCAGAGCCGCTGTGGGGCGGGAGGAGATGGGCCTGGACCCAGACCCAGAAGGAAAGCCCAAGGCCAACTTTGAAATCCCTCTGGGAAACAATCTAGCCCTTCTCCAGCACTGCAGCAGTGGCATGATCCTCCCCAAAGCCCTGGGCGGGCGGAGAGGGTGGGTCCCTTCCCACAAGCTAGGCCCCTTGAAATACCAGCCCGGGCTGCTGGCTGGCGCAGGGCAGGGAGCGAAAGAGGCAGGAGGCACCTGGGAGTAATGAGCCAGTACATTCCATGCTCCCGGGGAGCGGCCGGCGGCTGGATGCGTTCCCCTCGCTGAAGGGCTGGGTGATTCTTAAGAGCCAGTTACCGACCTGACCGCTGCACCTGGGGCAGAGCTGTGATCGGCCTTGTCCCCCAGAGGTGCGGAGTGGGGTTCCGGTCACGGACACGCGTAGGAGGGGATACGCCGGGGAAATGGAGATCCCGTTGTCCGGACGTAGCCCAGCGTGCTGGGGCGTGATCGAGATTAACGTACCAGCCTGCCAAGTGTCCGGCGCCCAGGAAGGGGAAGCCTAGACCAGCTTGTGGATCCCTGTATTGTGCAGCCCCGATGGCAGCCACGTAGTGATCCTAACAATGCTGGACCAGGCCTGTACTCAGTGCAGACAGATCCCGATTCGCCTCTCCCATGCTTGTGACTATCAAGACAGGCCCTCTGCTGACATCTGTGGAGATACCCTGATATAAAACCAGCATAAGCAGAGACCCAGGGCTCTGATTTCAAAGCCGGGGGAGGGATGGAGTCTGGCCTCTCGCCCTCCTGTTCCACGCCATGGCAATTGTTTCTTCTCAGCGAAGTTACTCCTGATTTGCGCCTGGGTAAGAGCCCAGCGAGGCAGGCAGTTCACAATGCAGGTTCGGCATCTCATAGCCACACCAAGTCCCTCCCCGGTCTCCTCGGCCTGGTCCCAGAGTTGGGAGAGTGCCCAGGTGGCTATATGTGCCCAGGTGGCTATGTGCAAACTGCTACAGCTGATTCTCCACCGGGCAACAAGGGATGGCTGCTAGCCCAGGCTATCTGGGAGTCCAGCCCCGACTGGAGGAAGCTCTGTCACTCAAAGGGAACTCAGGGACCGTGTGTATGTGTGTTCCAGGGGCTCAGCTGGCGAGCTTTCAACTGCCAGCTCCCTCCCTCCCCTCATCCCTGCCCAGCTCACCCCCGAAGTGCCTCCTGCTGTAGCCCCAGCATCGCTAGCTCCTGAGTGATTGCCAGAGCCAGACCACGGCACGTTGCGGTGGAGGAGTTTGGAGCTCTCCTCCCCTTTCCCCACAACGCTACGGTGGGAAAAGAGGCCAAGGTCGGACTGGGGTTAGTACCATGGCTGCTCGTCCCCCTTCCCCCATAGTTGACCTTAACCTGTGAAATGGAGGTGAAAGGCAATAGATAATCTGCGTCTACACTATGAAAGAGATAGTGGTTAGGTCCGGGTTAGAAACACGTTAGTTGGGTGTCTGTACAGCACCGAGAACCAGGGGTCCAGGTCCATGGCTGGGGCTCCAGGGTGTTACCGCAATACACATGACAAATAATAAAAAGAACCCCCCCTTTACCTACCCTAGACACCATCAGACAGCTCCGGGTTGGCTCGGGCGTGGCCGCGGTGCATTGGGTCAGCTGGTACAGTTCACGGACGGTGCGTTGGGTCAGCTGCCCCGTGTCATTGACCGAGTCACCCCGGGCATGGTGTTTGCTTGCGGGGTTTTTGTTTTGCACAAAGGCAGAGGGGAAAGAAGGGAAACAAACCCACCAATTCCTCAAGTCTCAGCGGATGTGAATGTGCCGCTCCCCGTCGCCCCCTCACGACTGGTGCCGCTTTCGCCACTGGCCACCATCCCCGTGGGAACGGAGGGGAGCGGCGTTTTGCATTTTCAAGGCCTAAGATCAACAGCATCTGCTTTGCATCTGGTGTTGACTAACGTCCGCTGGCTAGCATATATAGGTATTAAGTACACACATTAAGTATTAATATAGCAGTTATATGGCTATATAGTTCTATAAAGCCTGTACCTTTGTTGTAAAACCTGTTCACTTATGCGAAGTATCCCATAACACTTTGCATTAGCTGACATAAGCTTTGGCTTAAGTAGATAGGAAAACTCAGGATCAGAACATATAATTGGTTCCTTATAGCCACCGAAAGGTAGTTACCCTCCCAAGCCTGTTTATCCCTGGAGGTGTCCTCATGCCCCTTAGTACTTGCGAGGCATCTACCCAGATCAAAGATAAAGGTGCTGGATGCATTATGAGGTGGAATGAATGGTGGGTACAGAACAAAGGGAACGGTACCTCATGGGATCAGAAAAACAATACAGAAGCTAATTGGTTGGATCTAGTTTCAAATGCCGTATCTGGTACCTTTTCCTGGTAAACAAGCAGGGCGTAAATTAAAGGATAGTTGTAGAGGAGTAACTTTAGGAGCCCACCTTCTGCATGGGGTGAACATAGCATATCTTCCCGGGATGGCTCCTCAGAGATGGGTATCCCGTAGAACCTTTTTCCTGGGCCGTATCAGTAAACCCGATGGACGCTGGTTATTTGGGCTCTTGCGCATATTTCCTAATGAACCAAAGCGTGGCCAAGCATTTGACGATACCACTCACCAACGCTGGTGAGCCTCCGACTCGCTGGTGACCCTGTGTCGCTTTCTCTCCGGTTCCCGTGATGCCAGAGCCTTATTGATCGCATGGAGACCCAGTAACAAGCCTCTGTCTGGGCATTCCCAAGGGAGCTCAGCTCCACAGTTAACACGATCTCCATTGGCCAAATGTCTGTCTTCCTTTGTGGCTAGATATTTCCATATGCCCTTCGTCTGGGGCCCAATTCTGCCACCTTTAGCAGCATGGTGGGAAGGGGATTTTTGCTTAGAAGCACTTTTGGGCCAGAGACCCTCTTTACATTGTGTATCCTGAGCCTGGCACGAGGTGGCTGAGATCCCCACCGGGGCTGCCTATGCAATAATGGCCTTACTGCCTTGGTTCCCAGGGCACTGCTAGGAGAATATGGTTATTCCAGTGGGTGTCATGGCCAGAGAAGGAGTTGGAAAGGGAACAGGGCGAGAGGCCCGCTTGCCTTTATCCTCCTCCACTGGGTTCTGGGGCTTAAACCTCCTGGTCGAAGGTATTTATCTGTCCCCTGTTACTGTAGTAACTGAGCACCTCAGTTTTCCCTACGATACCGCTGTGAGGCAGGGCAGGGCTGTTAGATGGGGAAACTGAGGCATAGAGAGGCTAAGTGACTTGCCCAAGGTGTCACAGGCAGCTGTGGCAGAGCAGGGACTGGACCCCAGGTCTCCTCAGTCCTAGATCGGTCCCCTACCCACTGCACCCCCCTTCCTCTGTGAGAAGAGGCTGTCCTGGGCTTGGCAGCTCCTCTGGCTTGTTCGTATTGACCTGTGAGAAACGCCTTTTCCAAATAGAGCAGCCCGCCCATCTGCCGCACCTTGGGGGGCTGGACCCTGCCACAGGGTGGGCAGAGCCTGGAAGAGTGGGGGTGGCTCAGCCAGTGAAGAGATCTGAGACGGGGGAGAGCAGCATGTGCTGTGATGAGGCTGGAACGGGTGTAGCAGAGGTTCTGGGCTTCCCCAGGGGAGAGGCTGCTACCCGTCTCCCCAGGACGGGCAGGTCACTGGTTTGCTGTCTGGGTGAGAATTAGACAATTGGCGGCCAGAAGGGGCCATGCTGCTCATCTGCCCGCCTGTATCACCCAGGCCAAAGAACTGTCCCAAGGGATTCCTGCATACAGCCCATAACTTGTGGTTGAGCTACTAGAAAGAGCCCCCCCTATTGAAAGTGCCCAGGCACTGGAAAGCCGCCCCTCCCCCACCCCCGTCCGGGAGCGAGTGTTCTGGCGGTTCTTCACCCCTCCCCGTTCAACATTTGTGCCTCATTTTTGTTCTTTCTGGCTAACTCACTCTCCTGACAACAAGGCTAAATAATGAACCCCAGAAGGAGCTCGGGGCTCTTGCAGGGGGGCGAGGGGAGGAGCTGTATCGGCGCTGAAATGGCCCATCTGCTTCCAGCTTCCACCCATTCATCATTAGACTCTGCAGCCCAATGACAGTAACAACCACCCTAGCTAGCAGAGGATTCCTATCTTCAGCCCTTGGCCTCTCGCTTGGTTTGCTTCCCCGGATAGGGTCAGTAAGTGGTAAACAGGAAACGCACTTGGGCCTTCACCCGCTCCCCTCCCCTGTTCTAGGCGCTCGTGAGCCTGTGATGGATGGGGGATTGCCCTGGGAAACATGGATTCCTTGGTACACCGACCAGCCGCAGCCATCAATGGCCTCTCGTTCACGCCGTGTGAGGAACGGCTGCTCCTCTGGCACGCCCTCGAGTCCAGATCGGCCCAACCGAGGGATGTGCCCTCAGATCCAAAGCTGTGTCGGATCCCACAACCCTCCAGAGACTCAGACTCACAGGCAGCCGCGACACAGAGAGGCCTTTGCCAAATGGGCCTTCAGAGCCAAAGTATTCGGGACTTGCAGCTTCCTTGGAGCCAGACGCCTCCTCCGATCCTGTAGTCACTGAGAACTCTGCCTGGCCCCTAGGACTCCGGCCGTTTGCCAGGAGCCTGCTCCGGAACCCCTATTCCGCTTTCTTTAGCCCTGGAGCTGCTGCTTTCTCCTGTCATGGCTCCCATGGGACAGCCTCCAGGGCTGGCCTCAGAGATGGGTCATCTGGGGGTTTTCTGGATCCCTCCATCTGCCCTTACATCCCGGGCTGCCTCCTCACCTGGGGCCTCAGATACAGGCCTGGGGGGACTCATTCTGTCCATGGGACTTTCCCCCATTTTCCGTGGGGAGAGAAAAGGCACTGGGTTCTTGGGCTGGGTTCCCCGTGTGACCCCGCCAACGCCTCGCTGCCTCCCAGGGCTGGCCTGCGAACATGTGACAGAGCAGCCCAGATCACGCTCTCCTCTGGAGAACATGTTGCCTCCTCTCCCCTAGCATCTGGGGCTGTGTTAGGTTGGTGTTGACCAGGCTGATCAAGGGGTCTGAGATCCTGCTGCTGCCAGTGGAATCTCTCTGGCCTCCAGCTTCTCCCACTGATGATGGGCCGACAGTCCGGTACTTGACCCCAGATCCCATCTCTACTGCGAGCCAAGCGTCTCCCTCCAGTGCCCCTTGGCCCAGAGGATCGCTGCACCGCTGGGGAAAGCTTCCAAGATATTAGACGTCACAGGTCACAAAGCCTATTCTGTGGCAATAGGCCCTGGATGGCCAATTACCTGGTAGCAATGGACAGGGTCTCTTCTCTTGCCTGTCGAATGATCCGCTGAAAGAGGCCAGGCCTGTCCCGGAGGGGCCATGAGCAGAGTGCTGAGGGCAGGAGCTCACTCCGGCTGGCTGGTTTCATTCCATTCCCCCCGGTCGCTAGCCAGCCGGGCCACTAGTGATGTTTGTGTGCGTAGACTGGCACCCTGCGGTGCTGCGCGGTGACCACGCTGCCCAGCGATGGGCTGGCTGTGCAGACGGGGGCGGGTTTGGAATCACAGCCGTGCCGCTGATTCTGCCTCGGAGAAGACGGGGTGGGTTCCGCCGACCTCTGAATAATGGCGCCCAACCAACTGCCATTAGGGTCTGTGGAAAGAGGCCCAGATGCCTGCAGTGGGGAGCCGGGCCAGGCCAAGTCCAGCCACCTTGGAAGCGAGACATCCCCTTATCCCAGCGGCTGTGGGCGCCAGGGGCTCATTCCCGAGCACTGCTGGAGTGCACAAGGCAGAGGGAGAGGTGGGCCCAGTATTGGCGCCGTACAGAGTGGGCCTGGGAAGGGCTACCCAGCGCCAGGGAACAATCTTACCGTAGGGAAACTCCAGGGGGACAGTGGGTGGGTGCCAGCTGCTGGCAGCCGGGACAAGAGTGAGGTTTGTCGCTTGGCCTGGGTACAGATCCATGTCTCCCAAAGGCTGGGACGTTTGGAACTGGGGGTGGGCATCTGGAGCGGGAGGGGCCCCCGGTATCAGTGACACCCTGGCGCCAGCAGCTCTGTGGCTATGGGAGGCGTCTGGGGGCAGCTCCTATGGCTCTGCTGGGGCCATTGACAGCAGACTTTGCCAGCTCTGGTCTCCAGCCAGGGATTAGGACATCCCTGGGGAAGGGATCTGGGGGTGTGTTAAGGTGTGAGGCAGGACAGACTCCTCCCAGTGCCCAGGGAGCCCTGTGAGTGATCCCAGAGCGCCTGGCGGGGGCAGATATCTGATTGCCAAGGAGCTCTGGGGAGCACCCTCTGCAGACCCCCCCATCGAAAGGTGGCTGTTGGAGCAGCCTGGCAGCCAGCCCCTGGTTTGGGGCACACTGTGGGCAGGGAAAATGAGGGGCCATGACCAGGGCACACCACACTGAAACTCTTCTCTGTTTTCCAGGGGCCACGAGGAGCACGGCGGGGCCGGTGTAGCTGACACAGGAGGCTGGGCAGGACCTGAATGCAAAGGGAGCTTAAAGCTGGCTGTGCCATGTCCTTTCGTCCTGCGCTCAGCATAGGGAAGGCCTGGCTGAGAACTGAGGCCCGGCAGAGTCCACCGTCGGGGAATGTGCGGCAGAATTCTCCTCTGGGTGCAGATTTGGTTCCCAAGATCTCCCCGTTGGTGTGTGACTGCTACTCGATGAAAACCTGCCCTGTGTGACCTGGCAGAGATGCGAGAGCATGTTAACTCTGAACCCTACTGATGACACACGTGCACATTTACTTTATGTCCTAAGGTGCGTCACCAAGTCTTTGAGGAGGGAGAAGTAAGGAGCTCTACCACATTTGGGGATCAAAGGGTGCCATGGGGGCGGGCTATGAACTGTTGATTGCTTTAGCAGAAGGAGCCAGCTAGTGTCTTCTCCCACAATCTCCCGATGCCTTCATAGGTGCCAGCCCCCTGCTGTCCCTCCCCAGCTGCCATGCCCTGCAGGCTCTTCCTGGCAGCTCCCATGGTGCAATCACGCAGCGTCCAGCAGCTTATGGCGAACGTGGAAAGAGCGCCCGGCAAAGGGAGCTGGCTATCCCGCTGCGCAGAGGGCGAGGGGACTCCTTCCATCGTCATTAAGGCACAGAATTTCCCATCTGCTGCACCAGAGGCCGCTGAGTTCAGCAGGGGGCCTGGCCACCGAGTCCAATGGACCTGGCATGGAAACCGGTGGGCCACAAAATCCAGGGGGGCGGGTCACTAGATCCAGGGGTCCAGCTGCAGAACCAACGGAGTCCTGGGAGAAGAAGGTGACTCTGCTGTTTGTACAGTCATGCCCCCCGGGTGCCTGCCTGGGCTTTGGGCCCCCAATCCCACCTCTGCTCGGTATATTTGGGGAGAGCCCGCTCCTTCCTCTGCAGGGATCTGGAGCCGTCCGGCTCCTGCGTGGTTTGGATCAGATCTTCCCAGGGACTCCTGCATTCAGCAGTGGGCCGGCATCCCGGGCACCTCGGCGTGTGCACTCTGCCTTCGGGGTGGCGTGCTGAGCGGGTGCCGTAGAGGGGGCATCCCAGAGGCCGATCCCAGCGCTGGCTGTGAATGGCTCTCCGACACCGCTGGAAGTCTCTGCTGGTCCTGTGGTGCCTGAGCCAGTGCTAGCTGCCTTGGGCAACATCTCCCCTTCCCCAGGCAGGATGGGGTTACAGTGAACAGCGCTGCCCTCTCTGATCCACCCTTCTCTGGAAATGGGAAGGGGAGGCTGGCCTTGGTTTCCTCCGCAGAGCTAGACGATTCCTCCAGCTGCCAGGCTTCCACTCTGACAGCTGTAGGGGAGAGGGGAAGGCGCCCGCTGCTGCTGCTGCGCTCCGGGACTGGATCAACCCCCTACACTCTGCAGATTGGAGTCCCGGTGGGCAACCAGGCGCAGCAAAGGGAACTGCGTTGCCGAAGCCCCCTCTGCGTGGGGGGAGCTGGAGACCCTGGTGGGGGCAGCAGGGCGACAGCGAGGAATCTCTGAGCTCTCGGGCTCCGTTTGCTGGCTGCAGCGATCGCTGGGCGTATTGGACCGGTCCATACAGCCCAGCCTGGACGCCCCAGTTTTGGATGTGTGTGGGGGGGCAACCTCTCCAGGGCGTCGTGGGGGCCTGCTGGCTCCCAGCCCTTGGCCTGCTGCCTCTGACTTCAAAGCTGACGCAGCCACAACCTTCTGGTCTGAATTAAGCCCAGCTGTGCGGAGCTGCATTCTTTGGGGCTGGCTCCGGCTCCCCCTCCGCCCCCCGTCGGCAGCGCATTCCACCGCCCGCTCCGGAAGCCCCGGAGCTGCCCTGTCCTGACAGCTGCGCCGCATCTGCCTGCTGCGGAGCCCGGTGACCCCAAAGGAAGCGAGAGCGACAAACAGCCCCCCACCGGGTCCTGTCCCCACACGGCCAGCCAGCCAGGTGAGGCCAGGGTCTGCGCCTACCGGGGCAAGGGGTCTCTAACTCTGCCCTAGCCCCCCCCGGGGTGCGCGAGGCTTCCATGGGGCTTGCCGGAGCCTGTCGCCTGCTGCCACTCTGCCTGCTCGTGGGGCTGCTGACCCCCAGCCCGGGGCAGCCCCCGCCGGAGTTGACGGACGATGAGATCGAGGAGTTCCTGCAGGGCTTCCTGCGGGAGGTCAGCCCCGAGGGCGAGGAGGAAGCCGGGGGGCGGGGGCTGGAGGAGCCCCCCGAGCCGCAGGGGAGGCTGAAGCCAGCAGGGAAGGACAAGGCAGCCAAGGCCCCCACAGAGGTGGAAGAAGGTAAGTGTTCTGAGAGCAACCTGGGCACAGAGGGCCCGATCCTGCCCTACTCCGCCCCCTTGGGCCCAAATCTGCCTGGCTACCTTGGGGCCCGATCCTGTCCTACCCCCCCCCCTTAGGTCCAATTCTGCCTGGGCCCTGCCCAGCCCCCTCAAGACCCCATTTCCTACATCCACTCTGCACAGGTGTGACTGGCATCCAGGGGCTGGGCAGGGGGAACTGGGCCTGGAGGGACGCGCCGGCAGGGCCAGCAGAGGGGCTGGGCTGGCTGCGACGTGCAGCTCGAGATGTGGGGTTCCCGCTGACTGGCTCGTGCTGGGTGCCCCTGGGGAGAGGGGGAGCGGGAGAGCGGAGCAGCCAGCGCCCCTTGCTGTGCCGGACTTCCCAAAATGCCTTAGGAGCTGCCGCCCCTTCCCCTGGCGCCAGGCCGGGCGGCACTACCGGGGGTTCCCAGCCGTGGGCGACAGGCTGGAGACTGGACCACAGGGCTCGCCAGCCTGGGTCCGAGCCAGGGTCCACCCAGCCCAGGGTCCGGTCTCTGACCCCTGGATGCTGCAGGAACCCTTCTGTGATGGGGCACCCCTGGCCGTCAGAGGTGGGTGTGGACTGTCCCTTCCCAAGGAGCGACAGGGGGCCTGACGGAGATGTCTGGAGATCAGCACCTGGTCGGTTGTGTCCTCCTAGCAAACCGGGTGGTTAGCGCCTGGGGCAGTGTGCTCAGCATCCCTGGGGCAAAGCCAGGGGGCAGCCATGGTGGAGTCTGTGCCCCCTGGGGCAGATCTCCCCCTCTCCCCCCATGTAGATCCCAGATCTCACCCCCTCCCCCGTCTGTCACAGTTACAAGAGAGCAAACCCCTGTATGGACAGTGTCTATTCATCAGCCCCCCCTGCACTGCATGAGCTGAGCTGCTCCCCCCTCTCCCCTGTGCCGATGGCCCAGGTAAGGAGCAGGGCTGCCGGGGGGCTAGTCCACGCTGTCCCTGTTAGAGTGGTCGATGGAGGTTTTAGCCCCTAGGGCTGAGAATCCAGCCCCACCTCCCTCCAAATGTTAGCGCAGAGGGTGATGTGGGGAGCTGATATCCCAGTGTCCCCCCTCCAGACAGCCACACGGGGGCAGGGCCGGCTTTAGGCCAATTCCACCAATTCCCCCGAATCGGGCCCCACGCCTAAGAGGGCCCCGCGCCCAGTGGCAGGGCTGCCCAGAGTGGGGGGCAAGTGGCCGAGAATCCCTTCCCTGGCTAGAGGCACCTTTTTAATTTTTACTCACCCGGCGGCGCTCCGGGTCTTCGGCAGCACTTTGGCGGCGGGTCCTTCACTCGCTCCAGGTCTTCGGTGGCACTTCGGCGGCAGGTCCTTGAGTGCCGCCGAAGACCCGGAGCGAGTGAAGGACCCGCCGCCGAAGACTCAGAGCGCCGCCCGGGAGTACAAGCCCCGCGTGTTTTTTTACGTGTTTTTTTTTTTTTTAGTCATCCCTGCCGGGGCCCCATCAAAATTGTTCGAATTGGGCCCCGCACTTCCTAAAGCCAGCCCTGCACAGGGACACAGGTGGGGCGGTTCCCCTCGCATCAGGGCTGTCTCTGGGACCAGCTCACAGGTGGGCCAGTCAGATGGTCACAAGAGTGATCCCAGGCCCGGCTCCAAAATGTCCCCACCGAGTTGCCTCTAGGGGAGAGCCCAGGCCAGGAGAGGAGCCAGGCCCACCCCCCCAAACATCAGCAGCCCAGAAAGCATGGGCTTGGCCGAGCAATAAACGCGACTGGGTACTGTCTTTGGGGGAGGTGCCCCCCTGTGTGTGTGGTGGATGCATGATGTATGTGTTCATGTGGTTCCGTGCATCCGTGTGTGTGTTTGTGTGTGTGCACGTGGTTCCCTCCATGCATGTGTTTGTGTGCCTGCCTGCTGCCACTCTCAGCCTTAACACAGCTCTGCCGCGCAGCTTTCCTGGCGGCTGGCAGGAGGTGCCTTCAGCCTTCCCCAACCCCCGGCCGCCCTGCCCCATGGCGTCCCCCTCCACGCTGACCCACAGCGGCAGCTCATCGGGTGATAACAGTGTGAACCCCGCCACATGGGTGTGTGACTGAGAACTAGAACATTTAGAGTTTTCAGTGGGAAAAAAATCAACCCCCCAAATATTTTGATTCGGAAATGGGAGCCCCTGCATGCCCCCCCCCTCCTGCTCATGGGACTTGTTGTTTGGGTGCCTTGTCCTCCCATTGGCTGCTATGGGGCCGGCTCCCTGGTCTGGCTACATCTCCCATGATGCACAACAGGTTCCCCTTTTGAGGAGGGGCTTGGAAGGCGTATGGCTGCGGAGCATCATGGGAGACAAAGTCCCCTGGGGAGCATGGCGCATCGAGGAGAAGAGGGGAGCGAGGTAACTGAACTGCATCTCCCATGGGGCATTGCAGGATCCAAATATTGCAGGTTTCGGGCATTGGTTTTTCCACTGAAATCCCCCCACAGGAAAGAGAAGCTTTTTGCAACAGCAACAACAAAAAAAGCTGGTTTAGTGGAAAAGCCAATTTTCTATATGGTCTTGATGGAAAACTTTCAGCTGGCCCTTAGCTCCATCCTCTCTCCCTCCTGCGTCCTGAGGAGGCTGCGTCATCCCTGGGCTCTATGGGGGCTGGTGTCTTTGCCAGGGCTTCCCCCAGGCTGTGAGCAGGCCCCAGAGCACAGCAGGCAGCAGGGTTCGCTTCCCCCTGCTCCCAGTCCCCACAGTGGGGTGGAAGCGCCGTGTGGATCAGGTGTCGAGTGATGGGGCAGAAAGGGGAATCCTGCATGGGAGAGTTTTGTGCGGCTGTCCTTACCAATGCCGTGCGCTGGGTCTGAGCTGACGGGCATTGCAGACCCTGGGGAAGAGCCCAGGGCTGGGATAGCAGGGGGTTGTGGGTCCGGATTGAAGGGCATGGAAGAGCTGGGCGGGGGAAAGGGATAGCCGTGCACACGCTGTCTCTCGCCAGCGCTCTCGATCACACAAGCCTCTGGCAGCACGGCCCCTCTGGGCTTTGGAAGTGGGCCGCCCACTCCGTCCTGTCAGCTTTTCCAGGCCGAGGCCTGCAGAGCGGGGTTTGGCTGCTGGCCCAGCCCTCAGGGGCGAGGTTTCCCTGCTCGGCGGCTGCCGGTGTGCAGCCTGGACCCTGGTGGGGGCTAGCTCTGTTTTGCTCAGCCTGTGGGGCTGTGCCAGCTTCTCCAAGGAGGGGGGCCGTGCTCCCTGCTCAGGGCCCCGAGCAGGACAGGAAGGCTTGTCTGAGACAGCTCTAATGGCCTGTGTCACCCAGGGGCAGGACCCTGGGTTAGGGTAGGTGGCTGGAGAGGTGTGAGCTGGGGGCCGATCATCGCAGGGAGCCGTTAACTCTGGAACCCAACAATGGCACACTGCTCTCCTTGAGGATCGTTTTGTTAGAAACCTGCAGCTTGTCTGCTTAGCCAGGGCCGCCGGGTGTATCAGCTCCGACCAGGTCGGGTGTGGGGGCATCCAATCGCTGCTGAGGTTGGGCGGGGAGTGAGGAACTCCAACTCGGCTTGTGCCCAGAATGGGGCTTCACCCACAGACCCAGGGGGCGAGGGAGCGAGGAGGAGGAGGGAGCCCTGGTTGTTGTATCCTCTGCACGGGGGACTCATTCCTCCCTGCAGCCTGCCCTGGGCATGCCAGTTCAACGGGGCCATGTGAGTGTCACGCTCCTGGGGGGCGCTGGCCAGACAGCGGGCACTCAGGGCGGTGGGGAAGTTCTGCCCCATTCCCCCAGGAGCAGGAGTGGCTACAAATCCGAGCCCAGAATTGGGCCCTCTCTGCTCACGCACCAGAGGACATGGGAACGCTGCTGCTCAGAGCTTTGGAATGAGCCTGCGGCTGCCGCGGGGCAACAGGGCCGTTACTCAGCAGCCTCATCTCCTTCCTGTCAGCCACTGAGTCATGGAGCGAGGCCTCCGTGTCTGGCTGGAGCTTGCTGGAGCCCTGGGCCAGGGAGATCTCAGAGCCCCCACCCTGACCATATGCCCGAAGAGCACCTGCCTCCTAGAGTGCCCTCTGCATCACACGCCAGTCCACGAGGGGCCTCCGGGCCAGGGCACTAACAGAGCCAGATACCCACGCTTCCCACTCCCCCTTTAGCTGTTCCCTGTTCCCCTGCCTCCATGTCCAGCTGACTATGCACCAAGGTGCTAGCTTCTGTCTTGGGGCCCATCCTGGGGTCAGATCAGTGGGGCTGGAGCTGGGCAATTATGCCAAGGCATTTCCTGCCATCTCTTTGGCGCTGGCTTCCTGCCTGTCCTGGGGAGGGCGGATTGTTCCCAGAAGAGGGGGAGATGATCCGTGACTGCTGGAGAACATTCCCAGGAAGTAAACCTCATATTCATAACCGTGGGAATTCACTGGGGCAGCTGATTGCTTTCGCCCCGTCGGGGAGTAGAAACAATTCTCAGGACCATGGTCTCCAATCAGTAGAATGGGAGGCTTGAAACACCCCCCAAGCTGCTTGCTGAGTAAGCGAGCGGCCAAGAGTGACGCACTCAAAGAACCTGGCTAATCGTTCCAACGGGTGCCCTCTCAGTTTGCAGACACGCCGCGGCCGGATTCGCTGGCTGCAGGGCTGGCACTACCAATGCTGACTATTCACAGCTTGTGAGCCTGGCTCCAAACAGCAGATTTAAAAATTCTAAATGCTGGGCTGCTTCTGCGCAGAAGTGGTGGAGAATGCAGGCAGCCTAGGTCATCGTGTGGGAAATAGAAGGAACCCCAGGGAGCTGCTTGGACACAGAGGCTGTGGACTATGGTGCTGGCAAGGCTGGGTGCCCAATGGGCCGTGGGCATCAGAAATCCCCAGTGGGTATTGTTTAATGTCCTGCTGAAAGGCAGGGGAAGAGCCAGGCCCCAACAGAGTGTGGCTGGCTTCATGTGTGGAATGACAATGACTCCCTGGGGCCCAGGTGGTTGGGGGTAGGTGGCCCCACAGACCCAATGGGGAGAGGCCTGGGGCCCAGCTGGTTGGGTGGGGGCCAGACATCGGCCTGGGACTGACTCTTTCCTTTTATACAGGGACAACTGTGAAGGTTAAAGAGAAACCTAAGAAAGGGAAAAAGGAGAGGCCTCCCAAGCCCACCAAGAAGCCCAAGGAGAAGCAGCTAAAGGCCACCAAGAAGCCCAAGGAGAAGCAGCCAAAGGCCACCAGGAAGCCCAAGGAGAAGCACCCAAAGGCCACCAAGAAGCCCAAGGAGAAGCAGCCAAAGGCCACCAAGAAGCCCAAGGAGAAGCCTCCCAAAGCCACCAAGAAGCCATCTGGTGGGAAGAGGCCCAAGATACCACCCCCCACCCAGCCCTACGAGGAAGAGGAGAGGTACTGGCAACCCGAGAGACCTCTGATCCCCCCACCAGCCGAAAAGGATTACGACCTGCCCGAGACTTCCAGAATCGCCTCACCCTATGACGAGGAAGAGGAGAGGTCCCGGACATATGGGGAACGGGACAAAGGTAAGTGCTACTGGTTGGCTGATCGGGTTGCCAGTCACTCAGCACGAGGCGCCCACCTGCCCCGCACTCCTTCCCGTCTGGTCCCATCGCCCGCCGCCTCTCCAGAGCCCCCCAACCTCAAGAGCGACCCCCCAATTCCTACACATGACAGGCTCCTCCCCCTTTAGCATGAAAGGATATGACCAAGGAGTTACCAATCCGTGAGCGTCACTAAACATGCTGCACGGCCAGTCTGAGCGGTGGCTTCTCCCTGGAGAACGCCTCGTGGGCATCGGAACAGTGTCTGGGGCGACATCTCCCTGCTTGGTAGCATCAGGGTCCCTTGGAGTAGAAACAGGGCCAGGAGGCTCTCGGGTGCCGTCACTGCCTCTGGCTGTATTGCAGCTCGGGATTTCCAGGAGGCGGCAGTGTTGTGGAACTTGTGCTTCAAGACTGGGTTATGAGTCTTTTCCGGGGCATGTTCGGTGCCATTTCTCTCCACTGAGGCAGAGGGCCAGGTGCAGTCACTCCAGGGCTCCCCCAGTCAGCTTGGTCGTCCCTCACTAAGATTTTCTCACCCAGCCTGACCGCCTAGCCACAAATAAGCACATCCACCTGATTCTTATGAACATCCAGTTTAACCAGTCCAGGTGAGACCCTAAATTACCTCCCATAAACAACATTGCTGGCATCTGGTTTGCAATCGCATGGGCTTCATTGCTATAGGCCAAGAGAAAAATTGCAATATTGTGTGATAAGCCACCTTTATCGGGGGGTCATAGTCTAGATCGCTTGCTTGAATGTCTGCAGGAACATTTCTGCCAGGACGGTGAGGAGCTGAGGTGCCATGTTAGATATCATTTCTCTCAACAAACAATTGGACATCTTCGGATGTGAGTTAGGTTCCGTTGTCACCATCTGCTCAGAAACTCCCGTCCCTGAAAAGCCAAGTCCTAACCCTCTGCGCTGACCTAGTGGAATGCACACAGAATACTGCAAGTCGGTTAGGTTGGGCATCTACGGTAATATATGGCCCTGAAAACGGTCAGGTATTATCCATGCAATGGAGCACGTTTAGGCATGTGTTGCGTTGGCTGACAATCTTGACGCTTGTTCTGCCATTTCCTCCATTGTGTATCAATCCCTGCCCACCACCCGGGACTCTTGGCCAGACTTTGCCTTTTTGAAATTCCCAAATAGTCTTTGTCTAATTCTTGGAATACGCGGGCCCTGAGCCCCATAGGAATAACTACGTTCGCAACCTTGGTATACACTTAACAGTTCTTTGTGAGCAAAGAAAGATGGACACAGCTGTCCATGCATATTACTCCATCCACTCCTCGAAATGTCCTGCTCTTTCACCAGCACTGGGTCATTGTTAGGGTTTTGTTGGCCATGGCAAGGGTGCCACATAGAACATACCTGCCTGGCTCTGGTGCCACTTCCGTATGCCAGCTTACCTGCCACTTTCCAACGGGCCAGCATGTCAAGCAATCTGCATTCGCATGTCGGTTGGCCCTTTTGAACATCACCCCTCTCTGTAACCGTGCTGGAGTCATTGCCGGGACTCCTTTAAAACCGAAAGCAGCGGTTGGTGAATTGTTGCCTACCCAGGGATTGGTGACACTTTTTAACTCCACTCTGAGCTTCTCGCTCACTTCAAGTACAGCTCCCTTCCCTTCTGCCAAGAGATCTAAAGCAGTGAGATCTTCCACCTCATGTGAAATGACTGCTCCAGTTCCATTACGTGAGGCAGCACAAGCTATCTTCATAAGCAAAGGTGCACTGTAGTTGGTAAGGACCCTTCCCGATCCTGGAAGCTTCTTGACTTCATCAAGAACGGTGGCTCACTGTAGACCAGTGGTTTTCAAACTTTTTTTCTGGCAACCCAGTTGAAGAAAATTGTTGATGCCTGCAACCCAATGGAGCTGGAGATGAGGGGGTTGGGGTGTGGGAGGGGCTCAGGGCTGGGGCAGAAGGTTGGGGTGGGGGGATGAGGGTTGTGGGGTAGGGCTGGGAATGAGGGGTTCAGGGTGTGGGAGGAGGCTCTTGGCTGGGGAAGGGGGTTGGGGTGCAGGAGGGGGGTCAGGGCTCTGGGCTGGGGGTGCAGGCTCTGGGGGTGGGGGCGGGGGGGGGGGGGTTGGGGTGCAGGAGGGGGCTCCGGGGTGGGGGGGGGGGGTACTGGGCTGGGGCAGGGGGTTGGGGCACAGGGTTGGGGCATGAGCTTACCTCCAGCGGCTCTGGTCACTGGCAAAGCCGGGGTGCAGAGGCAGGCTTCCTGCCTGTCCTGGCACCACAGACTGCGCTGTGCCCCGGAAGCGACCAGCAGCAGGTCCAGCTCCTAGGCGGAAGTCCGCAGGCACCACCACTCCCAGCTCCCATTGGCCAGTTCCCAGTCAATGGGAGTGCGGAGCTGGTGCTCTGGGCGGGGGCAGGGCACAGAGCCCTGTGGCTCCCCTGCCTAGGAGCTGGACCTGCTGCTGGCCACTTCCAGGGCACAGCGCGGTGTCAGAACAGGTAGGGACTACTAGTTTTTACTGGCCGGCTGCCAGGGTCCCTGGGTGCTGAGCAAGGCGACCCAGTGCCTTGCATTCTGCGACCCAGTACTGGGTCGCGACCTGAAGTTTGAAAACCACTGCTGTAGATGGACAAGGTGGGTGAGGTCTTTTATTGGACCAACTTCGATTGGTGAGAAAGTCGAGCTGTAGACCTACACCACTTCTGTGCAACAGCTCATAACCTGGCCGCTGCGTTAAGTAAGGTCGGTCAGTAGTAACTGACCGTGCCCAGAAAGGAATGTGAGTGGGACACATTTCGTGGCTGGGATGCCATAAGGACAGCTTCGCCTTGCTCTTGGGATTTATGCAGCTCATCTTTGTCGATGGAATGGCCACCGTATGCAACTGAACCTTGGAAAAAATCCCATTTCTCCTTGTTTGCCCCAAGCCCACATTCAGACTCACAATGGCCACCGGGAGGTTCTCCAGGTGTTCCTCACCCCTAGCTCTTGTGACCAGTGTAGTAGCCTCGTAATGCCCTCTAATAGCAGGTCCAGAGCTCGCTTCCAGATAGCGAGTGTGGATGCTATTCCAAACACCGGCCAGTGATGTTGGAATAAGTCCTTGTGTGTGTTCATTGCACAGTACTTGTGACAATCTTCAATCTCCATTTGTAGATAGGCTCAGGCTCGGTCGATCTCGGAGAGACACCTCCCACCAGCTAATGAGGCAATGATAGCCTGACTTCCAGGCCAGAGGTACTGATCTTCATGCAGTACCGGGCAACCTTGAAATCACCACAAATGTGGCCAGCCGTGTTCTTTTTCATAGAATCATAGAATATCAGGGTTGGAAGGGACCTCAGGAGGTATCTAGTCCAACCCCCTGCTTAAAGTAGGACCAATCCCCAGGCAGATTTTTGCCCCAGCTCTCTAAATGGCCCCCTCAAGGATTGAATTTACAACCCTGGGTTTAGCAGGCCAAGGCTCAAACCACTGAGCTATCCCTCCTCCCCCTTTTTCACTCCATTTGCTCCAGTTGACCTTGGGTATAATTCTGGAGTCCTAAGCGCCCTATGGCAAAATGCACTGGACGAACTTTGCAAAATGTAGGAATTGCTCCCTCTTCAGGCACAAGTTTTGCTGGCAGGTGTTTTAAGGTTTTGATGCCCTCCTGAAAGACATCCTCTGCCTTGTCCACAAGGTTTGTTTTGGGCCAGAGGCCATAACATTTTGTAAATCTGCTGGCATTTCGAAATCAACGGGAATTAGGTTCCTAAACAACTTGGAGGATCTGGACCTTTATGCTCTGCTGTCCACCTGAGTCTCTCTCAGCCACTCTCCCTCAAATAATACCTGACCCTCTCGTGTCACAGCAGAGAGGTTTAACAGGCGCTGTACACATTTGTATGTCGCGTTCAGTGTAATAACCGCCAGGGCAGTGAGGACTTCCCCTGTGTATGTTTTTAGTAGCACCAAGTTTTCTGCAACGTCCCCTCTTTAAAGAGCCTCAGATTATCTGACACAGACATGGCAGACCTGGTATCCAGCTCCATTTGACGTCTTGCTCCGTCCGGTGTAAAGAAATCCAACGGACCCGTTATTGTTACACAAACTGTTGGAGAGATGGAATTGGAATTGGAAAAGATTCAGAAAAGGGCAACAAAAATGATTAGGGGTATGGAACGGCTTCCCTGTGAGGAGAGATTAATAAGACTGGGACTTTTCAGCTTGGAAACTAAGGGGGGATGTGATAGAGGTCTATAAAATCATGCCTGGTGTGGAGACAGTAAATAAGGAAGTGTTATTTACTCCTCATAACACAAGAACTAGGGGTCACCCAACAAAATTAATAGGCAGCAGGTTTAAAACAAACAAAAGGAAGTATTTCTTCACACAGAGTACAGTCAACCTGTGGAACTCCCTGCCAGAGGATGTTGTGAAGGCCAAGACTATAACAGGGTTCAAAAAAGATAAGTTCATGGAGGATAGGTATTAGCCATTATGGGCAGGGATGGTGTCCCTAGCCTCTGTTTGCCAGAAGCTGGGAATAGGTGACAGGGGATGGATCAGTTGATAGTTATCTGTTCTGTTCATTCCCTCTGGGGCACCTGGCATTGGCCACTGTCGGAAGACAGGATACTGGGCTAGATGGACCTTTGGTCTGACCCAGTATGGCTGCTCTTATGTTCTTATGCCCCAGCATTCTCCGTGGACTCCACGCTGTCACCGGCGAGCTGATGAAAGCCCCCGGGCTTGTCCTTGTGAGATCGTGGTTGTGCGTTTTGCACATCACCTGTCTGCACCCCAGTTTGTTGCAGCTTCTGCAGGGTTTGTCTGTGAACCAACAGTCCTTTGCATGGAGGGCCGGTTTGCCGCAGCAGGGGCATGCAGACAGAGTGCTGTCCGTTTTTGAGCTGACCTCCCATTTATTTGTTGCCTAGGTGCTGTTGCAGCTCCCAGGCAGTTTTAGCAGCTGTCTCCATCAATAACGCAATTTCTAGTGCACATGTGAGGGTTAAAGCAGCCTCAGTCGATGCTCCATCTTGCAAACTGCACAGTAACTGAACACCCCATTGAAACGCTCTCCAAACTGGCACTGCGCTGTTAATGTCCTTGACCCAGCCGCAAATTCGGGACTTGCTGTTTGGTTCTATTTATAAAAGCGGAAACGCTCCGCGGTGCCCAGGGGCTGGGGGGAGGCGACTTGGGAGAATTTCCACAACCTCAGCAAACATCTGCTGAGTAAGAGAAGCCTGGAGGGTTGTGTTCCAGGTTATTAGCTGTAACCCCCCCTTCCGCTGAGTAAAACCACCACTTTAGTCGTCTCACTTGTACCATTAGCTATTCCGAGCTGTTCCACTCAGCCAGAGAGCTGGGCCAGTCCTCACCAGAGCTGCCAAGGGCATTTTCCCCAAACAGCCAGAGGTCTTTAAACCCTTTCCCTGCAGGCCGCCGGGTACCGCGCGCCTACCCCCCAGGGACTGTCCCGCCGGGTACCCAGCGCCTCCCCCTGGGGACTGTCCCCGCCGGGTACCGAGCGCCTACCCCCCCGGGGACCGTCCCCACCGGGTACCGAGCGCCTACCCCCCCGGGGACTGTCCCACCGGGTGCTGAGTCTCTCCCTGCAGGGACAAGGGCCGTGTGGCTTCCCCAGGCCCTGAGAGCTCCTCCTTCTCCCAGCAGCGTGGCGCTGAGCCCTTTGCTTGGCTTGGTCCATGCGCAGCCTGACCCCCTGTCCTGTGGCTCTGCCCGCAGGGATCAAGAGGGCTGTTCGGTCCCAGCCCCCTGCCTTCCCGCCCCTCCCCAGACCCCGGCCCAGTGCTCTGAACTCCTGCCCTGTGTTTTGCAGCTGGATTTCCCGAGGAGCCGGACGAGCCACGCGGGGCTGAAGAACAGGAGCCGGGGAGCCGCCGGAGTAAGAGTGATTCGGGGAGGAGGGTGGGGGTTAGGGGGGGACCCGCCCCCCTTGCAGCACTGCCCTGGCACTTCGTACAGGCTTGGTCCCGTCTCCCTAGGGCACAGGAGCCGGGAGCAGCTCGGTGAGCTTTGGCGGGAACAGCATGCGCTGCTGAGAGCTGTGGGGGGTGGAGGTGGCACGAGGGCAGGGTGTGGGCAGCATGCGGGCCATGCAGCACGAGGGCGGCTGGGCAGTGCATGGGCAGGGGCGGCTGCAGAGGCCCTGGCGCAGCGGGCAGGTGCCCGGCCTGAGGACCCCTCCCAGCCAACGGGTTTTGTTCCTAGATGAGTTCCATGAGCCCCCGACGGAGCCGTGGGAGCCCGGCAGGGAGGACCGGAGACCGGCGCCCGACCCCGGTGAGCGCTCGCCATCTGCATGGGGCCTGGCCCTGGCCGTGTGCCCCTCAGTTCCCTGTCCTGAACCCAGAGCGTCCCCGTGGCCTCGGGGAGGGCAGGAGAGTCTCCAGGAGCCCCCAGCCCTGGCACATCCTGTGGGAGCCCGGGGGGCGGGGGGAGGGAGGGCCGCCCCTCGGGCCCACGGCCCTGGTGCAGCCTCCCAGATGGGGCTGTAGCAATGACTGCGCTGCCCTCTCCGGCCTGCTGTTTGGCTCCAGCCTGGTGCAGCAGAGAGCAGCCCCTGCCGTGTCCCCCCCGCCTGGCCCCGGCACCCTCGCGGGCAGCAGCTGGTGACTGTGTCTGTCTCTCTCCGCAGTGCTGACGGAAGAGCCCGAGCCACCCACGCTGGACTACAATGAGCAGATCGAGCGGGAGGACTACGAGGACTGTACGGGACTGCTGCTATCTCCCCGTGGCCCCTCCACCCAGACCCTCGCTCCCCTCTGGGCCCCGGCCCCGTGGGGACAGCCCTGCCCTAGAGCAAGCGCACCCCAGGGACCCCCCCACACCAAGAAGAAGGGGCCGGCCTGCGACCCCCGATGCTCCCTTGGGATGGGGCAGCCTCACCTCCTAGGCCCCAGACCCCCAGCGCTGCACAGCCCCATCCCCTGTGCCCCTGGCCCCCCAGCACTCCCCTGAGGCTGCAGTGTGGAGCCTGGACCACAGAACGGCCCCTGCCCAACAGCTGGGGACTGAGCAGAGCCCGGAGCCCCAGTGCTGGGATCCTGTAAGATGGCTCTTAAACACCTGATACCCCTTGGGCCAAAGTCCTACAGGGCCTGAGCCTCCTGTGCCCAGCATCAGACCCCTTTTGGACTCGGGACAGGGGTAAGTGATGCCCACGGTGCCAGGTGGGGAGGATCGGGCCCACAGTCTCTGTGCAGGGGGGACTACGACCAGGGCTGCTGGCATCAGCTGCTCTCAGAGTAAAGCTGCCAGGATCCGGCCTGCTCTGCCCCCTTGACCCCACTCGCAACAGTGAAGGGAGACCACCACCCCCTGACACTGAGTGCCCCCTCCCGCCCCAGGATTGCCCCGGCTCTCGGATGGCCTGGTAGAAAGCCAGCCCTGCATCTGCTGGCCAGGCTGCCGCCCCGTTCTCCCCAGGGGGGCGTTACCCTTCCTCTTGCCAGCCCTTTCTGCCCACTCTGGACACTCACGCCACATGGGAGCCCCCTGCCCCAACCCCGGGAGAAACCCCCTGGTTAGAGCCTCCGCTCTCCCTCCCGCAGCAGGACAGTGACAAACCTATGTTCCTTCCCCCCAGTCGAATACGTCCGGCAGCAGCAGAAACCCAAGAAACCTCTGAGCAGGAAGAAACCTGAGAGGCCGCCGTTGGAGGTGGAGGAGAAGCCAAGTACGTTTCCTCCGGCCCCAAGTCTTCCCCAGCCAGGGAGGAAGGGGACTGGGGGACAGGCAGGGAAGAAAACCCCTTGAGTGGGCCACCACTGGAGGGGTCTGAGGCTGCCCTGCATCGGTGCAGAGGCTGTTGTGTGCACCGGCACCAAACCAGAGGGACCAGGGAGCCACCCCCCTCCCCATACTTTTTAACAAGAGGCACATAAGTGCAGAATTCATGTCCTCTGCAGATTGTTTTTCCCCTGCAGAATAATAGAGTCTGCTGCGGAGGCGCTGCGATTACACCTTTCACCCACCAGGGGCTGCTGTGTCACCAGAAGAAAGGGCAGCTGGCTCAGCCAGCCGCAGAGAGGGAGGGGGCACTTTGGCCTTGGGCCCCTCCCCCTTCTACAAAGGTTCTGGTGCCCTGGGTCATGTGCCCGCTGGGCAGAGAGGTGCCCACTCCTCATGCCCAGCTCCCCATGCAAAGCAGCACTTCCCCACTGCTTGGGTGTCAGGGCCCTTTCCATGGGGCTCACAGACTCCGCTGCATGGGGAGCCGCAGGGGCGGTGCCCTTGGGTGACGTGCCCAGGCCCAACTAGAACCTTGGACTCTGCCCCTGCCCCTTAGCCACACATCTGTGACCCACACAGCCTGGGAACCAAGGACCTGCTCAGTGTAGGAGGGGCTGGGGTGCTCCCACACCATGGTTATTCTGGCCCCCTGCAAAGTCCCCAGGGGCTAGTGAAGCAGAGGGGCAATTTAGGGCAGCCCTCAGGTCTGCTCCAGCCACTGTCCCTGAATTTGCCTCAGAGCACCTCAGACCACAGGCCTAGTGCCCTATAATACCACAGATCAATGGGGAGGGGTTGTGGGGGTTGGACCATGATCTCTCGTCTGAAAGGCCACCTGCCTGCCCTGTCCTGGGCCACGCTGTGCTGTGGGCAGCTGAACATTAGCCCTCGGAGGGTCTGTCCTGGGCTAAGTCCCCCCAGCCCTGGCGGCTCTCCCCTGAGGGCACCTGGCTGTACCCGCCTCCCTGGGGCTCACTCGGACTCTCTCCTCCCCCTGTAGAGCCGCCCGTGGAGCCACCCCCACCGCCCCCCGAGAGGGACTACGATGAGGAGCTGCCACTGCCACCACTGCCGGACTACGACGACAGTAGGTGTCGGCCGCCTCAGGACGGACCCTCGGCCCCCCAGCCGCTTGTGCCCGGCCTCCTGACCCAGCACCCGGCCTCCTCCCCCACCAGCACTCGGCCCCTGCCCTTCCCCCCAGCACCCTGCCTTCCCCCGCAGCTCTCTGTCCCCCTCTCCCCTGCTCTGGACCCCACAGCTTTCTGTCCCCTTCCCTCCTACTGCCCTACACTCAGACACCACAGCCCTGGCCCCCGTATGATCCCGCTTCCACCCTCACCATGGCCTGGCCTCCAACCCAGCCAGTGCATGCAGGCCCAGTCAGCATGACGGGGCTTAGGCCAGCCAGGGGAGATCTGGCATTCCCCCCCAGGAGCTAACAGGGGCCCCAGCCCCAGTTAGAACCAGCAGACAGGGGGTCCCCCCCCCGGAGGGCCGTGACTCTGGGCAGGGCTGGGGTCCTGCGGGGAGGGCTGCCCAGTGCCCACACGGCCCAGCCTTGGTGCACGCCAGCCCAGCGCCATGTCCTGTGGCATCCAGGGGGGCCAATCCCTGGCGTGTTCTCCCCCACTTCCCACTGCGTTCGGCGGCAGCGTCCCTGGCGCCCGGCCGGCCCCTCAGCGCGCCCCGCTCTCGCCCGCAGTGGAATATGGCCTGCCCCAGCCCAAGAAGTTCCCCAGCAAGAAAGAGGGTGAAGGCGAGATGGAAACGGATGAGGAGCGACTCAAGCCACGTAAGGAGAGGGCTTCCCCCAGTGGGGTGGGGCAGGGCACACAGGGGAAGGGGCCATGCACATGGGGCAGGGCCAGGTTAATTGTGAGAGGGGCCAGGCACAGGGGGCGGGGCCATGTTAATTGTGGGAGGGGCCAGGAACAGGGGGCAGGGCCATGCTAATTGTGGGCGGGGCCAGATATCCTGCCCATGCACGCACTCCCCAGTAGACCAAACCCCTGGCCATGTGGGCTCCCTTCTCCCAGCTGGCCAGTGCTGCTGGCTGCCCCCGGCCAGGGCGCTGGCCCTGTGGCTACGTGAGGATCCCCAGGGACACAGTGCTCAAGCGGCCCGGGCAGAAGGAACCCACCAGCCTGGTCTAACCCTCCCTCGGCCACATTGGCCTTGACCCTGCCCCTCTCCCCTCCTGGAGCAGGGAAGCCCAAGAAAGGCGGCAGCAGCAAGGAGGAGGAGGAGGTGGACACGGATGATGACAAGTGGGCGGAGGAGAAGACCAAGGAGCGGAAAGGTGAGTGCGGAGCTGCCTCCCTGAACCACGTCCTCTCCGGAGCGGGGCCACACCCAGGACCCACGGCGGGGCCCAGCCCTGCGGCACCGTACCCAGAATCCCCGGCCTGGGCCCAGCCCCACGGCACCGTACCCAGAATCCCCGGCCTGGGCCCAGCCCCGCGGCACCGTACCCAGAATCCCCGGCCGGGGCCCGGCCCCGGGGCACTGTACTCAGGACCCTCGGTGGGGCCCGCTCTCCGGCCTGGCCCTGCATAGGTCATTCCAGGTGCTCTGGCCCTGCTAGCTTGAGTTAGAGAGACGTGCACACAGTTCCCCGCACCCCCACTCCGCTGCCTCTCTACCCTTCCCAGCCCCTTCCCCTTCCCCTTCTGCTGCTCTGGCCCTGCTCCGCTGCCAAGGGGTGCAGGGCAACAGGCCCCTATCCCACCTCTTCTCCGTGCCCCTGCCTGGCATCCTCAGTGCCTGCCCGGAGCAGGGGGCCCAGCCCCAGCCCCGGCATCCTCCCCCTGCCGCTCACTAACCCCCCGCCCCAACCACCTGCAGGGAAGCCGAAGAAGCCGGGCGGGAAGAAGTGGGAGACAGATGAGGATGAATGGACGCCCCCGGAGGAGAAAACAAGTGAGTGACCCCTGGGCTGTGTCAGGGGCCCAGCCCGCCAGCCAGGGGGCAGAGCCACGTGCCCCCTTTGGAGAGCAGGGGGCAGGAATGATGCAGGGGCAGGAGGGCGAATGAGGTCGGTTTGCCCAGGGCTGGTTGATGCAGAAACTGGGCATGGCCCCTGGCAGCCAAGCTGCCTGAGCCTCAGCGCCTCCACCGGGTTGGTGCCCACACTGGGCCTGAGGGCCTGACTGGCACCTGCTGCCCGGCAGGGGCCACGCCAGCTGCAGGGGGCAGAGAGCAGGGAGAGGTCCCCCAACCGCTCCGCCACCAGCAGCGGGCACAGCAGGGTCACTCCTGGGCAGGGGGCAGCTGGGTGTGCAGGCGTGGTCCTGAGCTGGGGAATGAGGGGGTCGGAGGGAGCTGGGCTAGCGAGGGCCTCCCCCTGTCACGCGGGCGCTGCCCTCCCTGCCTTGCAGAGTGCCCCCCCCATCGGGATGGAGTCCCACCGCATCGAGGACGACCAGATCCTGGCCTCGTCCATGCTGCGGCACGGCCTGGGAGCTCAGCGCGGTCGGCTCAACATGCAGGTAGGAGCAGCCCCATCCCCTGCCAGGCCCCCCAGCCCCGGGGTCGCCCCCACCTGCCGTTGGCCTCAGGGCAGACCCTGCCCTCTCCCCTCTCCCTCTGCCCACCCCCCAGGCCGGCTCCAACGAGGACGATTTCTTCGACGGCGCCTGGTGCGCGGAGGACGACACCCGGGCTCACTGGATTGAGGTGGACACCAGGAGAACCACGAAATTCACAGGGGTCATCACACAGGGCCGGGACTCCCAGATCCAGTACGTAGGGGCCAGGGGGGTGTCCCAGATCCAGTACGTACGGGCCGGGTTTTTTTTTTCCCCAGATCCAGTACGTACGGGCCAGGAGGGTTCCCAGATCCAGTACGTACGGGCTGGGGGTGTGTGTGTCCCAGATCCAGTACGTACAGGCTGTGTGTGTGTGTGTGTGTGTGTGTGTGTGTGTGTGTGTGTGTGTGT